GCAAAGAACATTAAAAATCCAGTTATACGACTTCGTCTTGTACCAGCCAGTTTGAAAAATTCAGTAAATAAAAAAAAAGAAGCAATTAATCCTTTTTTTTTTATGAATTGATGTTTTCTTTTTTTCAAAAAAAATTAGTCAAAACCAGCAAATGGAGTTGTTAATGGTGAAAAAACATGGTCAACATCATCACAATGTCAACATGATGAAAGTGATCATGTTAGCTGTACTTCAGCAACAACAATTGATATTAAACAATTGATTAAAAAATGTTTATCGAATTTGAAAGGTGAGAATTGGATTAATTATAGAATTTTGTGCTTAATTTTATTAGTAAAAATTTTTTAAATAAAGTATTGTAATGTAAAATGTGTGACATTATCTCTCACGTGTGAAGCCATAAGCAAAAAAAAAGAATTCAACAAAAAGGTTATAAAAACTTTGATCGAAATAATATGTCAGCCATTTTATTAGTTTCGACTTAATTGACATTACTAAATAATACGATTTAGAATGTTGTTTCACAATGATTTAGCTACTAATCAATGTATACAAACAGAAAGTATAGCAGAGATGTTTGTGAAAATTTTCAATTCATTCTGTCCAAGCAATTATGATATAGATAAAGTGTTTTTTGAAGGCATTTCCATTAACTGATTAATAATGATCCAACAAGTCGGCTCGCTTTTGTCGGTTTTCGCTGACCTAAAAAGATTTTTTGAGACGATCAGATCGTACCAGTTCGAGATTTCTCAACCGGTTATAATTCTGCTTTGGAAATTTAGTGAAATGCTAGTTTGATTTGGTTATTATTATGATCAAAGACCACATATCGAAGTTACCTATTTGATAACAACATTCTTTGAGTATTTATTAAATTTTTCAATTGAACATATTGTAATCTATAAAAACAAAAAAGTCTTCAAAAAATTGAATAGAAATAATTGTTTTTATTTATTAGAAACAACGGAAAATATTCAATTACTTGATCGTTATCTTCATCCAGTAAGATTAATTCTAATTTTTTCTGTATTATGACTATTCAATGTATTTTCGTAGGAAGATTATATTGATGATGAGTGTCAGTCAATAAGTAAATCATCTACAAATCTACAACAATCTTCATTACCAGTCAATGTTTCATTAAGTCGTCAGATATCACAAGCATCATCAATATCTGATTCTCGTAAACCTTCATCAAATATTGTCGATGAACTTATTCCTGCTCTTAATCATTTGATGAATACACAACAACCATTATTATCATCATCATTACTTTCTATCAATAAACCTGTTGAATCACTACCAGTGCCTCCACAAACAATAATTAATTATCAAACGCAAACACAAACATTAATACCAATTACAAATGTACCATCACGTTCTTCAAATAAATCTTTTAGTAATCGTCTTGGTATGATGATACCACCAAATCAAATTCAAAATTCAATTGTTCAAGAATCAAAAACGATATCACCATCTCATCAATATCTACCACAAAAGCCAAAATCACCAGTAATTGTCAAACAACCAATAGTTTCATCTAATAGTAAAAATCAAAACGAACCATCTCCAAACAAAATTTCACCATCATCAATATCTAAATGTAATTTTTGTTTTTCTGAATTGATCTTTATATTCATTTTTAATTAATTTGATAAAAAAAAAAAGGTAAAATTGAATTAAAACAATTTGAACCTGGTACGACTCTTGAAGGTATTGTTTCGGTTGCATCAAATGCTTCTTATTTCTTTTTACAACTTATCGACGAAAAAAAAGATGAATTTGATCATTTATCAAAAAGTTTACAGTATGTCTTTGAATTTTATTTTTTTTCTCGTTACTTTTCTATTATTGTTTATAATTATTAGTGAATACTATTCAAATCTTGATAAAAATACTCATTATCGTCCATTACCAGGTGATTATTGTGTTGCTATGTATACAGAAGATGCTCGATGGTATCGAGCTCGTATTATACGATATATTTCAGGTTCGTTTTCAAAAAGTAGTGTCTTTTTTTGTTTTTGATAAATTGTATATAAATGTATAGATCAAACATGTGAAGTATTCTATATTGATTATGGTAATATGGAAGAATTACCAATTGATTTATTGCATGAAATTTTACCTGATTTTGTTCGAATACCAGCTCGTGCTATTGCATGTACTATTGCTGAAGTAAAGAAAAACTGGTTTTAAAATTTTCGGAGAAATATAAATGTGCTTATTCTTTTTGTTTTAATTAGATATTACCACCGAATGGACAAGAAGGTTGGACAAAACGTGCAACATTTGCATTTGCATCACGTTGTAGTAATGAACGTGTTCAAGCAACAGTTGTTGAATCAACAAATATTAAATGGCCAATGCATATTGTTCAACTTCGTGTTTCAAAAACACAAGAGGTACAAAGACAAAAAAAATACTATTTTCAACTTTGAAATTTGTAATTTTTGAAACTATATTTTGTAAAATTTCCCTAAGAGAATACTCACTAACAGATAATAAGCATTGTTTAATTAGTTGAAATCTTGTGGTTTTATGTTTCTTTTTCTAAATCAGGACTATATTCATCATGAAGATCCTAATGAGGTATGAATACACTGAAAAAATTAGGAACACTATGAAAACTCATTTTCGACTATCAATTTGAAGATTTTCATAGAAACAAATTTTAACGAGAAAAATTTATCGTAAAAATTTCAATTCTTTTAATTTGTTCCTATCCTGAAATAAAAGCACGTCGATCTGCCAGTATATATGATCAGTGTAAAAGACAACCTTTTACCATGGTTGTGTATCTTAGGATAGAAATAACGAAAATATCTGAAATTTTTACAAGACTATTCTATTTTTATGAAAGCTTCTAAGTTGAAAGGGGAAAATGACTTTTCTAAGTGTTCCTGAAAAAATACACGACTTGACTTAAATTTCAGAGTCATATACAAATGTTTTGTTTTTTGTTAGGATATTGGAGCATCACTTGAAAATTGTAAACTAGCTCGACATGTATCAAATAATGAAATATGTGAATTTTGGTCGAATAAAATTCGTCTCGAACAATACATCTTATACAATTTACAAGAACCAAATCCAAATCGTTTTCCATTAATTGAACAAGGTACATCTTCTTATTTCCATTATATGACTACTAATCCAGTTAATTTTTCATCATCAACTATTATTAACATCTTCGATGAAAAATTCCATAGCAATATCGATAAAGTTAGCAAAGATTTGGCATTTGTACATCGAAATTGAATTTTATACATATACATATATCTGTTCTTTTTTTTTCTTTTTGTCTTATGATCCTAAAAAAGTACAACATTGTTTCAATCAAATCGTTTCTTCTTTCTCTTTTTTTTTTCTTCTCCAGATAGTATGTTGCTGATATACATTTTTTATTATCATTATCTTTTTTTTTGTCCTTATTGTCATACTCTCTTTACACATTAGTAAACCATATGAAGGTTATCGTTACTGTTATTTTTTGTTTGTTTGTTTGTTTGTTCATATATATATATAGTTCATACATGTATTGATTTGAGATTTAGTCTAGAGAACACATAAAAAAACAGATGAAGCAAAAATAAACAAGAACATATGAATATTCCTATCAATTTTACCTAAGACAAAAAGAAAAGAAAAAGATCAAAATCAACATCACAATCAATGTATTCAGTCAATTATGTTCAGATTAATTTTCTCTTTCATTTATTTGATTTTTTCTTTTAATAGAAAAATTATTTGAAGAAAAATATATTGTTTTCTCTTTTTTATTTTGTTTTAGTACCAGTGAAAAATACAACAGAAGAACATACAAATACATTTCTATCATTATCACTTCAACAAACTCCATCGACTGATGATGATGATTCAACGAAAGAAGAAACACCTATTATTGATGAAATAAAACCATTGAAAGAAAATATTGATCAAACAATATCAACTATTACTGGCAATGATGAACTTGATGAAATTCAATTAGATAAACAAACAATACCTGATATATCTGAAGAAAAAAAAGAAGAACACAACGAACTTACTTGTAGTACTCCATCATCTGCTCTTAATCCAGATGCAACTCCTTTTGTTGGTTTATCAACAATTAAAACTGACAGTAATCAATCATTGTCAAGTGGAGATGAAAGTGATGATGAAATTGATTCAAATGAAACACCAATTTCTACTGGTAAATAACAAAAATATATAATTCTATTGAAAATCATTGTTATATATTTGTTTTTCTAAGATTCATCTGAACGTCCACGTATGCCTATCAAAGAAGAAGTTATTGTTGATACTAGTTTGATGCCATCAACACCTCTGCTTAAATCTTGGTTACCAATAGAAGTAACTCATATTGAAACACCAACTCGTTTCTATATTCGTTATATCTATGGTCCTAGTTGGAATTTAGGCAATGGACAAACACGTAAGTGATCGATTCGATTTTGATGATAACTCGTGATATTCATTAATGATATGGAATTTTGTTTTACAGCTGAATTAATTAATAAGAAGGAAGTACCAGAAAAAAATGTTGTATTAAAAGAATTGACACAAGAAATGACGTAAATCATTTTTCTTTTTATTTTGTCTGTGTTAATGAGCAAATTCATTGATGTATTTAGACAATGTTATAGTAAACATAAACGTATTTGTCCAGGTGATAATTATGATGAAGGTGAATTAGTTGCTGTGAGATTCCGTTCACAATGGCATCGTGGACGTTTTATAGAATATAAACCAAACATTGATTTTGCACATGTATGTTAATATTTACTTCGTTTTTTTTTCAAATGAATATTAATTGAATCTTATAGATATTTTTTGTTGATTATGGTTATACACGTTCAGTACCTATTCAAATGATTCGACCAATTAATAATCGTTTTGTGGTAAAAATAAGAATAAACAATTTTTGTTTGATGTTCTATATTTATTTTTTTTGTTTTTAGTTACATGCTGAACAATCTCATTTAGTTCATTTATATCAACCTGATCAACGTCGAGGGCGTATAGAATGGAGTATAAATGTGATTGATGAGTTTCGAGAAATGACTAAAGATGGTACAAATTTATATGCAAGAATTATTAATGAACCAAATACAATTGAATTAATGTCTTATGATCCATTAACGAAAAAATGGTTTTCATTCTATGAACATTTTGTTAAACATATAAATCATTGTGATAATATTGAACAAAAAACTGAATAGAAATTATTTCATCTATTTGTTACTTTCTTGTTTCTTGTATGATATTAGTATTTCGATTGTTCGTTTACTGTTCCTGTGATGCTACATTTTTTTTTCTGTATATAGAACAACTTTGGTAGATTTATTGAGGATTTGGTGAAGTACAAACTTCTTGTTTTTCTTATCTCTATTGATCTTTGCTTCCTAGAAAAATTGTATTTCCAAGTCGTCAAGAGATGTCTGAAAATCGACATTTGTTTATCATAAATATATAACTGTTAGAATATGTAATTGGAATTTAATAAGATTAAAAATATGGATAGAAGAAAATTTAAAATATGACGAATTACAGAGGAAAATTACAATATTAAGATGGTATAATAAACATTGATGAAAGAATACAAATGATTTATTCATATTTTAATTTTCATGATTCTTTTTCGAAATACATCTACTATAATACTTTATTGTTCATAGAATGAAAAAAAATCGATTTTTTTCAATATCTAAGAAAACTTAAAGTAAAGCAGTGAACTTTGTTTCATTATTGTATAACTTGCATATAATATAGCAATAAAATTAGCTATTAGAAGTACTATTTTTAGATTTGTTTAAATCGTCAATATGAAAAGCACTTCAATTTCATGTGTCATTATATCTACAGAATGATTTTAAATAATCAAAGTATATTTAATACTTTTAAAATACATGCATCAACCATACTATTTTCTATGAGTTAGAAGAAACAATTGAAATTTTTGCGATACTTTTGTATTCTTTTAAACAAATCTCAACATTCTCTTGATCTAGTTTATCATTATAAAAATAAAAAAATGAAACGATTACATCTCTTTACAATGATTTCATTTAAAAAAAAACAAACAAGTTTTTCGTAAGTTGAAGAATTTCATTCACGCAACCGTGGAATCTGAGAGAAAGAAATGAAGATTAGATGCTGAATATTGTTGAGAATGATTGTAATCTATATCATCCAATCATTATCGTCCTTGACGAAGTTGACCACCTTGTTGGCCGCCACCACGTCCTCCACCACCACGTGAGCCTTGATGTCCACCACGCCCTCCACCACCACTACCTTTATAGTTATTACGATGTTCACCACCACCTCCAGATCGACCACCATATCCTAATAAAGTAGACAAAAACAAAACCAATCAATATAGAATTGTTCTTCAAATTTTCTATCTTTCATATCTATTTTACCTCCACGTCCACCATCGCCACGACCGCGAAATGGTCGACGTGTTGTTGGTCCTGAACGTGTGGGTTTTTCATTGACATCTTCTTTGACAAGTCCAAGGATATCTTCTGGTAATCGAAGATATTTTATGGTATTACCACGTATATAACATTCAGGAATTTTCCAAAACCGATCACCATCCTATAAAATTTAATTAATTATATAAATAACTCATTTTCAACATAACAAAAGATTTTTACTCGAGAAGTACATATAACATCACGCAAGTGAATATTCATAAAATTATCACAAGTAACTAAATTTCCATTGTATGTTTCACCATTTTTTAATTCCACCAACTATAAATATGATTATATATTATATTGTTTTATCGAATAAGGTTAGGTCAGGTTAAAAAAGATTTTTGGATTTCGAAGTGAAGCTGCAGTCTGAGCAATTTCCAGATATAAATGTCATGTCGAGTATTTCTTTTTCATTTAAAGGTTCTATAAGAAAGTGTGGAAAACTTAGTAGAACGAGAAGTTATTTATTGCACAATGTTTTCTTTTGCTTCACTGTCTTTTCTCGGTTGATTTCGAGCAACGATGCATAGTAAGTGTACTATCTGTTCAATGAAGATATAAAGGCCGTACGTTATATACATAAGAGAAAAAAGACAAATAAGAAAATATTCTATCAGATAACCGTATGATTTCAAGTGTGGAATATGGGCGAAATATTCAGGACATATCCTTTTTTTTTTTAACTACAAAATGAAAGAAGAAAAAGAAATGGATTGAAAAATTGATATTGCAAGAAAAAGAGAAACGTAGTCGGTACTAGAGTTCGACTCGAGTTCGGCCACAAAATTTGATCCATGTTACAAACTGATACTCACCATAGGATGATAAGCTGCCGTTCGAAGAAGTGTTAAAGGAAGCTAGAAGAGAAAAAAAGACAACATGAAATTTATTGTATCATAATATTTGTTTCTTTGATGACTCACCATCTAAAATAAAAGAAAAAAACACAATAGTTATTATTTCATTAATATTATATAGAAACAGTTAGTTTTTTTTACTTAGTATTAGTAAAACAAAAACAAATAAATATCTACAATTATTCTCGAGTTTCTTGAGGCCTTACATCTAATGAATATTTCTCAAATAAACACTAAGTTGCATAATAAAAATCTAATAATTGCACAATCAAACTGTAATAGATGCGTAATTTTAAAAAAAACGCCACTTTCCTCAATTCTTTTTTCTTTATCTTCTATAACAATGAGTATTTGATTGTTTTTCTTAATTCTAGACTAGTTATACACTTTTCGATATATAATGGGAAATACAAATACTGATATTCAACTTTATCGAAAGAAAATTGATATACATGGTAATTATGTTGATTTTCCGGGTTATACGATTGTCGCACATGCTATACATCCATTACCAAAACCATTAATTGATCTTGTTAATTATCTTTCTTCAAGTGAACTTAAAAATTATTATTCATTTCTACCAATGACAAGTTATCATGTTACTATAAATCCACTTGAAAATGTTCGTCATGAACATAAATTTCTTTTAGAAGATGAACAACGTAAATTAAAAGAACAAAATACTTCACTTATATGTACAGTTGAAAAACTAATCTATTCTGGAATTATATCAATTGAAGTACAATTTAAAAATGATATTAATCCTAATTTTGAAAATATTATTAAAAATGTTCGAACGAATGAATTACAACAAGCAAAAATTCTACATAATTATGCACTCTGTTGGCATTTAACATTAGCTTATCGATATAAAGATTTAGATAATGAAATTCAAACAAAAACTCAACAAATAATCGATAATATTCCTCCAACATCAAAATTGCCTTTTGATATTCCACTTGATCATATACGAATATGTCATTATAATGATATGACTAAATTTACACCGATTTGATTCAAATAAAAAGAAAAAAAAAAAAAAATTTGAGAATATCAAATTTTATTTAACAGAATAAGATCTAATAAACATTTAAAAAAAATGATTAGGTTATAATTGATTTTTTCTTGTTTTTGTTTCTTTTTGATCAATATGAATGTATTGCAACTAACATAATGATTAGAATATTTGAAAAATAAAGAATGATTTTAAAGCTCTTGTTTTTCTTGTTCAAGATCAGCACCAAAATCTGTTATTTGTGAACCAGCAAATGATGAATAAGCTTGAACAATTTCATCTGGTGTACAATAACCATTGTTATTAATATCACATTCTTTTAATAAATGTTCAGTTTCTTGATCGGTTGTTGTTGATGATGGTGGTAAATAATAATTAGAAAATTCATTAAAATCACCAAAACCATCGTTATTTGCATCAAGTTCTCTACTTAAAGGTTCTGCTTGACCAGTTTCAGCTTCTAAAAAACGAAAAAAAAAATCTTTTCATTATTTTTTTTTTCATCTGATGAATATACCTGTCAGTTTTAAATATTCAACATTAGAAAGTTTTCCATCCTTATTTTCATCATATTCATTAATCATACTATTAATTTCAATTTTAGTTAATTCTTTATCATCTTCTGGTCGAAGAAATTGTCGAAATTCATCATAAGATAATGATTGATCACCATCTTTATCAAGATATGTCCATTTTTGTTTATCTAGTTTGTATAACTTCAAAAGTGAAAAACACATATATATTTATGTAAAATATTAGGAATAAAATTAAATTCTTACTCGTCGAGTTTCACGTGTAGTCATATCTGTTTTATCAGATTTTTCTAAATCACTTATTTCGGCATCATCAAAACTATAATGAACATATGCAGGAAATGATATTTTATTTGTCTGTTTTGAATCAAGTGTAGCAATCAAATCATCTGCTTCACGATCACGTTGTTCTCTAAAAAGAAAAAAAGAATCATTGTATTATCGAAAATTGAAGAAATACAAAGAGATAAAACAAACTTAATACGTTGTGCCGTATAGCTGCGCATTTCATCAAATGTTATTTTTCCGTTTTGATCTGTATCAATTTTATTTGCAATCATACGAAGTTTTTCACGTTGTTCTGCTTCAGTTCCATCAGCATCCTCGCCTAAAATATTTAATTCGTATTTTATTTAAAATAAAATTTTATCAATACCAGTAAATAATTTTGAGTGTGATTCATGATCATGATGATCATCTGAAAAAAAAATTAAAAAAAGTTCAATTTAATATAATAGAAGAATTACTATTGAATTAACTTACGATCATCATGATGATGATGATGATGATGATCATGACCGTGTTTTTCATATTCTTTATCGGCAAAAGAACCAATGATCCATAGAACAAAACAGGCAGTAGTTAAGAAGAGACGAGCCATTTTTAAGAAAATTAGAATTATTCAAAATTTTTTCTAAAACAAATAAATGTTTCACTGAAAAATGAAACTACTACAAATCAATACATAAAATATACATGCACTTTTCAAGACTTGAAATAACAAAAAATAAACGAAGACAATTAATTATAGTCCTTAGATCTAGATTTGTCTTCTACCTATTGGTTACGATAATATAGCCAGTTATAAATGAAGACTATAGGGCTCGTTCTAAACGTTGTATATCATATAATTAAAAAAAATTTCACTAATAAAAACTCATGGATTCAAAACATTAAAAAGAAAAATCATACCATTTATGACTTTTACAGTGAAAATAAAACGCGGAAAAAAAAGAAATGTCATTGAAACAATAGTGTTTCAAAATCATAAATCGGAAACGAACTTTGTAACCAAGCAAATACAATATAATTTAATTTTTGATCGAAACCATT